ACCACCATCGCGACAAAACCTCTTTTTCTCGCTGCAATTCACATTCTCAAATAAATCCATTTGATGTCAATTAGCTGAAGGTCCCCCACCGGAACCATAGACACTTGATACACCACTCGACATCTCGAACTCAAACTCAAAACAATCCAAGATTTTAGGACATTAAACTCGGATACTCCGGAATACCATCACAACGCCTCGCAGTGTCTCGACTCTACCATTGATCTCATACTCATGGCATTATACTCAGATACCGCATTGCTTCCTCAGAACCTCACAACCGGTCTTTCTCTCGTGCCACTTGTAACCCCGGAATACTCCATTCCCCAATTTAAAACACGGAGAAATTGCCAAAGACTCAGAACACGAAGTTGACAATCGGAAACTTCCTTCTCTATTGCTCAAAACTCATGCAAGAATACTCATAACGACCCTGAAGTTGGTTGCCCAATCGACTTCTTCCCTTCCCATACCGCGTATAATAGCCCATACTCTGAACTAGAAATTCTCAACCGTCGAACTAACCTCACAAGCTAACCACCTCGAATTCACCATTTTAACCTTGAAGGATTCCTAACCCCATAAGGTCTCCGACCAACGGCCACTTGTCGTGGAGACACTCATCCTTTCTTAAGCACGTACCATATGCACTATCTCACTCTGCACCTCTCATTGACCACCAATAACCCTGGTCTCAGGAATCCATACCGCAAGCCTCTTTATCCATTTCTCTAACCGTTCTTGAACCAATCTCTTATCTCCTCAAAAGTACCCGGTTCTCCCCCACTCAGGGTTCGACCCATCACCAATTGGTTCGCCAACAATCTAACCCACAGACTGATTTTACCAATCCCATCGCACCTACTCTTGGAAGGTGATATGCAATGCTTGATGATCCCCCCGATGGAGGTCAAGCAATTCCAGATACCCCGAATCTCCGATGAAATCCTCAGAAACTTCTCATCATGACTACCTCTAGTCCTTCAGAATCCCGTACCATCCCACTACCGGACATCTCAACTGTCCAGTCGTAGCCCTGACTCTCAGTCTGAAAATAACGAACTATCATATTCCTCATCCTCGACTCTTCAACCAACTTTCCATCACGTGGGTTGTAATAAGAGTGGAGTCCTCATTGCCACACTCGATACTCGTCATAAACAATAAGAGCCACCGCCTCAATATCTTCTTCTTGATCGTCTGCCGCTGCCGCTAATACATGCCCTACTATGCTCAAATAGGGTGTATCCTTGTCCTTAATCATCTCAGTCCCCGCTGACAACCTGCTCATGCTCTAACATTACCTCTCGGCAGACATACTGCCCAAATACTCTGATGAAAGATCGTAACCAAAGCTACCCCACAGGGCTCACCCCCAACCTTGGAAACCGAAAATCTCAATACCTCTCCTGTTTCCCACAAGAACAAAAATAACACCGCTCGGGTCACAGAAAATAACATCTCCACCATCGGCTGATTGCTCAACTCATGTTGTAATCCTCCATAACCGCCATCTCTACTCATTCTTGAGTCTTGCGACTCCGATTGGTATCTCACCAACAATCCCTCGGAGCTAACTCGATTTCCCTTTTAAGGGATGCTTCACTAGAACTCGTTCATCATGGCCCCCTAGCCCCATACTCTTTCACCTCTGATCTCGGTCTAACCAATCACCACGGAATAACTGGTAGAACCAATAACACTAACAGCCACGGGTCATGGTACTCGAACCATGTGGCCACCTCTCGATCTGCTATAAATCATGGTACCCGAACCATGTTATCTCTTCTCAATCCGCTACGAATCATGGTACTCGAACCATGACATCGCCTCTCGAGCTGCTGCAAATCATGGTACACGAACCATGAAATCACCTCTCGATCTGCTACTTAAAACCTCCGAAATGTTCCCTGTATCGATTATGGGTCCTCTACTTTCAGTAGTACGGGCCCATACTACCTGCCACATCTACCCATACTTTCCACATGGACCATCCCCGAGTTCCTAAGTAGCTGCTCGACCTTTTCAATCACCAACCCCGTCATGCGTGTTCGCTCCTCTGTGGATTATCTAAGTCTGTCAGTGTACTCATCTGACTAGGGTCACCCTTTCCTAGGCTCTTCCTAGGTTCTCACACCTCTCCGCCATCAGCTGCTGAAGAACTCCTAATGATGCCAGCCATCTACCTCCTGAATATCGTCATATTCACTTGGTAGCTAACTCCCATCATCGAGAGTTCCACAAAGCACGAAGCAAGCAGCATTCGGGCATCGAATAACCTTATAAAACCTCTCTAGGCTATTATCCTACTTGCCCTCCTCATACTCGTAGGATATCACCGAACTCAAGCAACTTCACCCTACGCGGGCCTATGACTACCCTCTCAGAGGATTCCACAAATGCTCATCCAGGTATCTCTCCTAGATTACTCTTCTACTCAATCCCTCTCTCAAAAGGATTCCCTCTGGATACTCTTACTCAGCACATACTCGAAAGCATATCACAGATAACCGCAACTCCTAGGCTAAGGCGTCACAAATCAGACCACTCTAGTCCTAAAATATGACATACCTAGCCTATCTCTAGCATGCATAATATCTCATAGAATATCTCATAACACAAAATAAGGGTATTTTGGGAAATCACCGTTCGGGCTCTGGCTGATTGTACACACTGCTCCTTCTCGTTTTCTCTTAGAAACTCTTGTTTGCTTTAGAAAAGTCATTTCTTTGAAATTTTTTCTCAAATCCTCAGTTTGAGTCCAGATTTACCCGAAGGAGCATCCGAATCCCTCAAACCAAGGCTCTGATACCAAATTGTAACACCGTAATTTTTCAAACAGATTTTTCATTTTAAAATCGCATACTTTTCATAACAAATTGTATTGAAATCTCGTTTATTCAAATTACAAAACACAACTCCATTAAAAATCCAGGATCCTCAAAACATAACTCTTTCTCTGGTGTGTACAATCAAGCCGGTGCCTTCCCGCGATTCCTGAGAACAACCTGAAACACATAACACATAACATGGTAAGCACGAAGCTTAGTGAGTTCCCCAAAATACCACATACAACACATACGCCACTCGAGGCTACAGTACGACCCTCCGGTCGATGTGCCTCAGCAGGACCCTCCAGTCCCGTAGCTCATTGGACCCTCTGGTCCGGTCATAGCTCGTCGGACCCTTTGGTCCAGTCTGTGTCGTTGGACCCTTCGGTCCGGTCTATATCGTTGGGCCCTCCGGCCCGGTCTGTTCAACACATAGCATACATATAACACAATGCACATAATCTCATATATACATAGCATACAAGACCCTCTGGTCTACACATAAATACCACTCTAGGTAATGTATAGTGAGAAGACTCACCTGACAAGCAGCAAGTAAATACCCTTGCACCCGAAACTCAAACTTGCCTCCGCCTAGCACAAAAGATGAAAATCTCTAATCAATACTCTTCACACGACCCCAATAAATGAGGGCTATTCTTCTTTCGCTAATTCTTGAATTGGGCAAAAGACCATTTTACCCCTCCATGGTCTCCATTACTCATGTTGACCAAACCCCAGAGTCAACAAAAGTCAAACTCGATTCAACAGTCCATGTCTGACCCGACTCGCCGAGTGCACCCTTGCGACTCGTTGAGTCCACTTACTTTCCTCAGAAATCTCGTGACAGTCCAGCTCAGCTCGTCGAGTTGACCCCCAACTCGTCGAGCTATCGCATGCTCAAGCTCATCGGGACAAACCCTCACTGACTCGTCGAGTCAACTCATGGACTCGACGAGTCCCCTCGGTCTGATTCCTCATTCAGACGTCCAAAGTCAAGATCTCTCATTCCAAACCCTAGATCAAGCCCTTTAAGACACCAGAGACACATAAAGTCTCGACCTTTACGTTCATGCATGGCATAAATGCCTCAAAATGCCAAAACAAGCCCTTCTTAAGGTGTTAAGCACAACAACCCTCATTTGGACGAATAAAGTTGGGACCTTTGGACTCTAGGGACCTCACAAGGTCCGAATCTGAGGACTAGGCTTCTAGCTAATCCATTTTACTCAAAGTCCCAAACCAAAGGTGGTAAAAGCCCTAGAACTCCAAACACATGAGATCTAACCAAAATAATGAGAAAGGTGCAGACTTTTACCTTCCTCAGAAGCTCTGGACGATCTCTCACTGGATCCAACTTTCCTCCTCTTGATCCTTGCTTGATCTCCTTCTCTTCTTCTCAAATGATGCACTAAAAATCCCAAGATAGCTTCTCTCTCACTTTCTAGCTCAAATGACCTTTAGGGTTTGCTTCTAGTGAAAGGGTGGCCGCAAATGAGGCTATAAGTGCCTTTAAATAGGTCCCAAACCCCGGAAAGTAGGGTTTCTCTAATCAGCGCCTACTCAGCGAGTCCCTCTCCTCGGACTCGTCGAGTCCACTCATTAAATCCACGGGAGAAACCCGACTCGACTCGGCGAGTTGGACCCTCAACTCGTCGAGTCCCTCCTTTAATCACAAGATTAACCTACACCATAATACCTCTGAAAATCCGGATGTTACACACCATTAGTATGAATCATAGCCGGTGATAAAGTTGTCTCCCTTTCTTGTTCTATCGAAAAAGTTTCTCAACATCTGTAGTTAATATAAAAAAAATCAACAAAAATAAAAGTAAAACTTAGCATTGTCGTGGAAGTAATGAAAAATAATTATGAATATATCAAGTTTAGAGACAGAACAAAGATGATCCAAATCTATTCCTTATTTTGTGTATGAATGTATAGAAACAGTGAGATAACAAAAAAGAAATAACTCAAAAACTTTACGTTGGTACCGTCTAAATGTGGTGTAAAGCCATTTTTTCTTTATTTACAATTGGCCCCTAGACTATAGTAATGTTGGCCAATTTAACTAGACTTTTAATTTTACTATCACATGTATCAACACTTTGAAAATTAATATACAAGATTTTTATCAATACTTTGAAAACCAATATAGAAAATTAGTTTTCAATACCTGGGTGTTATCTCTGTGTGATTTTTAATGCCATTGACTTCAACTTCTAAGTATAGATCAATATTACTTAGTTCTTGATGGAGACTAAATGCATCAAACATGATCTCAACGTCATTGTCATCCGTAATTGAGAGAGGAATATATTTCATTACTTTTCCAACAACCGATGGATATCTGCAAATTACTTTAATGAGCTTTTTTTGCTTATCAATCGACTTAGCAATATGGATTTGATCGATGAGTTCATTGAATTGTATTCCGCATTGAACCTTGATAGCTTTATTCGGAGACTTGTTGTAAGTTATACCTTCTTCTCCGTCACAAATTTTTCCATCCCAATAACATAATAATGTAATAAATTTTGATGTCATGGCAATAAAAATCTATAAAAACAAAAGTATTTATTTCAAAGGATTTAACATCATATTAATATATAAAACACATGCATCGAATACAAAACCTACTACCCTAAAAAAGAACAGGTATTATAAGAATCGCATAAGTTACTTTTGCAAGATCTTAAAGATATTATATAGTAAAAAAAACTAAATACAAAAGAAATGAAACTCACGCACAGTAGCAACATGTTTGAAGTGATGAAAGAACCATTAACATACATTACAGTGGAGTAAAAGATATACAAGAAACCTATAACAAGAAGGAAAAGACACATATTATGCAATAAAGCATTAACCAACAGAAGCCGATGAGAAGGACTTACCTAGGACTGGCAGACTTAGGGCGGTTGTAGGGTATTCCGGCGGTGGAAGAAGAGTCGTAGGCGATTCTTGCGATGGAAGCACAGTGAAGACGAGTACAACGAAGAAGGAGGGAACGCGTAAGAGAAAACCGTGTGAAGGAAACGGAGGCTACTAGTTTTTTTTTATTTTTTATTAAAAGTACAATTAGTTGGTAAATAAAGTTGAAACTACCTTTACTTGGTAAATAAAATTTTCGATAACTATGTTTATGTAAAAAAAACTCTGCATTTGCTTGGCACAATTAAAATTAGATAACTTTATGTTTCTAATAGTTAGATAATTTTGTTGATTTTCTATTTAACTTATTTTAATACAAGGGTATTTTGGTCTTTTATAAAAAATAAAAAAATTCCACCTTCCCATCTGAATTGTGAAGGATTCTAAATTAGATTTTTTCCATTTCACAACCAACCGTATCATGGAATGGAATCACGCATTCCAATTGTATTGGATTATATTGGAATCCGGAAAGTGGAAAAGGAATTGCCATTGAACTCACAGAGTTAGGATCAGAATTCTTTTTGGGAGCATCACCGGAATTGTTATTCCCCGGAAGAGCAATATACACGACCTTAAGCTTGATATCACTTTTCTTTTAAAGAGATATTTGTCTTTTTTAGCATTTTCTTTTGACTTATTTGGTCTTGCCGGATTCTTTCCCTTGCCGGAAGTGTCAGCAAACACCTGCCGCCCACTTAAAGGGGCTGTAAAAAATATAACATCACCAGACATAAGTAGAGATTTTATTTAGCCTCTTTATAAAGAATTTACAAGTGTGTTATAACTTATAAACCAATTGAATATTTTAGGAACAACAATTCTATTCCATTATAACATCCATCTACATTGTTTGAAAGCATAAATTACAAATCACAACATGAATTGGAATTGTACACTTCATATGTAATATGTACTTCTTCTGTATAATATTTAGTACTCAACAACATAAACTTTAATTGAAGAATTCATGGTAAACAAAAGATGCATAAATTGTGGTTTTTCTTGACTCAAACTAACGAGTAGAGGTAATGACAAATGAGAATTGTGATACTTAATTCTGCACAAATGATACAGGTGCTTGACAAAAAACTAAAATTCATAGAACAGTTTATTGTTGTGGCCTTTAAGTTCTAAAAAAATCACATCTAAATGCTCAAACGATACTGTAGGTTTCCAAAAGTTGTCATGTAATGATAAGAAACAAAGAACAAGGACCCAGAAAAGAAAAAACAGAAATGAACATAAATAGTATATGAATTGATTACCTTTAGCTGGAGAAGGGCGATCTAGTTCGTGACCAAATGCCTAAGCATAAGTGTCATCAAATTCCTAATAAAATCCCCTTCTATAAGAAACAACCCTAGCTTTGTTCTTTATAAGATCGATACCAACATGCTCAATGATAGGCTCCAAAGCTAGCTGCCTAATAAAATCAAGAGTTGAACTTGGCTGGAAACTAGCCCTAGATTTCTCAATAGCATTGATTGAGTATACAGCTCCAGGCTCATAATCAGCTACATCAACAGCATAATACCCTTTAACATCTGTCTTCCTGAAATTCTACTTACTCCTACACATACAAGACAAACCAAGTGCATTCCTTCTACTCACCTCATCCATTGCCTCTTCCACAGCTTTGACAAAAGTTTTTGAGTTAGTCTGTCGAGACTTTTCAGCAAAATTTGATTCAAATGGCATAAGTTCTGAAGGATCAAACCATCCATAACTACTATCTCCAAAGAAGGCAACCAAGAGAAGACCCTCCCTCTTTGATCTTCGCACAGAAGTGGTTGCAAACTCTTCACTGAATACATGACCAGGCCACCAAGGGTGGGGCTTCACTTTTCCCCAAACCATATCCCCCACTTCATATCCATGACCAGGCGATCCCAATCTTGATCCCTCCATTGATGACCTAACCTCGGTGGCCACACTCCCATTTGCAGCAAAATAATCAAACATCGAGAGCATTGAATCATATGCAAGCGATACTAATTCTTTTGACTTCGTCTCTTTTCTCCGTTGTCCCTTCTTCTGCTCATGGAAATTACCAGCTAATGGAAATTGGCAACTCGATAACATAACGGAGGCCATCTGGAACAGTGGGGTGGTTAGAAAATTCATATCGAGATGGAATCAAACAAACAACAAAAGAAGGGAATAAGAACAACAATGACCATACACTAGAGCACGCGCGCCAACACGCTCGGAAATGTGGAGTTTTCTAATTTTTGGGTTTCTAATCGGAGGTCGATAGATGTTTTCAGACTAAAATCGGAGATTAGACAGCCGAAGAAGAGAGAGTCACAGAAGCGTGAAGTGTGGATTGAGTTTTTAAGGTTCAATGGCGGTGGCGGTGGCGATGGCTTAGGGTTTACAGAGAGAAGGAAGGAGTGAATGAAGGGAGATACTGAGGAGAGAGGGTAGAAGCGGGGTTCTTCAAAATTTTAGAATTTCAGACGATTTCGTTTTCCCCCTTTAAAAACGTGCGTTTAAGCAAAAAAAATATAAAGCGACATTTGAAGAGGACACATATTTAAGATAAGCGCCCTCCGTGTTTGTATTTTTTTTCCTTTTCTGACACTAATTTCAGGGCATGCACAAATGTGTGTCCTTTATCCTTCAAATTTTAGAAGAGATGCCATTATTTTGAGGGTGCACGCTTTTGCGTATCGTAAATCATTGCGTATCATTGTTTGCGCGTCGTAAAAGGTTGTTTTTCTAGTAGTGTGTGCCTATTATATGTGTATCAGCTTTATGAGAACTACATGCTAGATTAGGACTAAGGATCTAGGGAGGATGCCATATGTTCCTGTTATGTGTATCTCAGCTTTATGAACCGCATGCTAGTACAAATTAGTCAGTGATGGCCTGAATGTGATATGCTTGATTATTTTTACTCGATGCTCGAATGTTGCTTGCTTTGTGCTTTTAGGAGTTCTAGTTATATTTTACTAACTAGTAAACGAATATTTTAAGCTACATAATTCAAGGACTAAATAATTTCAGAAGGTTAGGTTTAGCCTTATTTCGCAGCTCTCGTTTGAGTCTAACCGTTGTAGGGTAGAACCTCTTATTCGAAGAATTATATAGTCTTAGCGATATATAATGGTATTTGTGAGCTAGTGAGGGGGAGATAGCAGGGACTTCCTATGCAGTTGATGGCGGAGAGTGGGTTGGTGATTACCCTAGGGCAAGCCTAGGATGAGTTTAGCATGAGATCAGCAGTAGTAGTATAAGGTACTTGGTGGAGTCGAGGTAGTTCTTGAGGAAAGTACGCATAGATGTGGAAGGTAGTATGGGCCCGTACTAGTGAAAGCACAGGATTCGTACTTGAATCAAGGAAGGCTTAGATGAACCCAGAAAACTTGTAGAATGTAAGATCCCTCGAGTTATGATGAGTATACTGATGTTTGTTATGGTGTATTTTCAGTGTGGTGACGCTACGCACTAGGCCAATTGGAACTTCAGGCACTGGTGAGGGATCAGGCTTGGGCTCTAGAGCCAAGCAGATGGATGAGCAGACGAGGGAGTTTATTTCGTCTGAGATCACACGCAACATTCTAGATTAGACTCCTGTGATCTTTGGATCGGTCAAGGAGGATATTTTGGAGCTTCTGGATGAGATGTTGAGCGCTTTCCGCACTGAGGTGGCGGCCATGATGGGGTCGCGCACACTGACTTTCTAGGAGTTCAGGGTGTGTGGAGCTCCCGACTATCATGGGGCACGAGACCCCATTGCTAGCAACAGATGGTTGGCTGATGTCACCAACGCGTTCCGTACGAGCAGATGTCCTGAGGGGGACAAGGTCCGACTTGCATCCTGTCTTTTGAAGAACAGGGCACAAGACTGGTAGGACGAGGTCGGACGAGCCATTGGGGACCTGGAGTGATTTTCGGCCAGGTACAGGGCCGAGTTTGCACCTGTGATTGAGGTGCAACAGCTTGTGAGGGAGTTCCAGGATCTTGAGCAGACGACAGAGTCAGTGGCGGAGATCACCGCCAAGTTTAGGGAGAGGGCCCTTCTTGTTCCGCAGTACGCAACGGACGAGGAGATGAAGAGGGTCTGATGCCATGAGATGTTGAGGAGTGATATCTGCCAGTTTATGAGACGTTTCAGCTGCAACACGCTGGAGGATATGATTGCCACGGCTCGATAGAGGGAGTTGGATTTGGAGATGGAGAGGAAGAGGAAACCCAGATGGGGTTCAGACAGGCAGTTTGGGCAAGAAGCCCAAGTTATCAGATCACAAATCGAGGAGCCAGCAGGGCCACAACCGGTGTGGCAAGTGAGGCAAGATGCACGAGGGGGCGTGCAGGGCGGGGAGTTCAGGTTGCTTCAAATGCAGCTGAATTGGTCATATGAGTAGACCTGGCAATCCGTGTCTGCGTGTCGTGTATTCGTGTCAGACACGAATTTACACGACACGAATTTGCTAAACACAAACACGACACAAATTATAAAATGTGTTTGGGGTATCAAACACGAACACGACACGTAAAAAAATCGTGTGATACGTGACACGACACGAATAGACACGTTTTTTAGCCATGTTACATAAAAACACAAAAAAACACGAATAGACACGTTTTTAATGGCTTTTTTAAGCTATGGCTATAAACTAGTTATTGACTATTACAAAATTGGTCCATAATATATTATAAATACAAAATTTAACCCTAAAGTATATATGTGTATATATGTGTTTATACGTGTTTGTACGTGTCACGTGTCAACACGAATATGTATCGTGTCTTATACGTGTCTAAACAGGTAAATTTGTGTTTGACATGTGTAAGACACGAAACACGAATTTAAAATACGTGTCAGACACGAATAAACACGAAAAACCAATTTATAAAACACATACACGGAAAACTCGTATCATGTTCGTGTCGTGTTAATCGTGTCGTGTATGAAATTTCCAGGTATACATATGAGTAGGGATTGTACAGCTACCACCACCACCACAGTAGTTTCAGATCTGATTTCCTTCCAGTGCAATCAGAGGGGCCACAAGAAGGCCCAGTGTCCGAGTCTAGCAGCAGCAGGACAGGTGGCGACACCCGCTCCTACCACGTTGAGGATTACAAATGGCCGTCAGGGCCGGGCAGAGGTGCCTACGGCGAGGAGCAGGGCTTTCCAGCTTACTGCGGAGGAGGCACATGCAGCTCCCGATGTTGTGATAGGTATGTATCTTCTCCTTATCTCCTTATTTCGTACTGATTATTGCTTATTTTTATGTGTTTGTTATAGGATCGTTCTTAGTGAATGGTATACCAGCCTTGGTACTGTTTGATTCGGGTGCAACCCGATCTTTTGTGCCGTTCGCGCTCAGCAAGCGATTCGTAGGAGCTCTGGGGGGAGCTAGATTGCCCAGTGGATGTGGAGATAGCAGATGACAGGACCGTTAGGGTTGCGAGGGTTCACAGAGGTTATACACTACAGTTATTCTATGAGCAATTTTTAGTGGATCTGGTTCCTATTCCCCTGCGAGGGAATAAGGTTATAGTGGGTATGGATTGGTTGAGCCCCAATGGGGCAGTGATCGACTGCAAGCAGCAGCTAGTGAGGGTTTGGACTCCTAGTGGGGGAGGGTTATTGATTCAGGGTGAGAGGCCACAACGCGGACCGGTTTTATGTTCAGCAGCGAGGGCGATACGTTACCTTCAGCAGGGTTGCACAGGTTATGTCGCTTATGTGATGGATACCCGGGATAAGGGTAAGGCGACAGTAGATGATGTACTGGTCGTGCGAGAGTACTTGAATGTATTCCTAGAGGATTTGCCTGGGATACCTCCGGAGAGACAGGTTTAGTTCAGGATCGACTTAGTCCCTGGTGCGGCTCCGATAGCCAACGCACCATATCGGTTGGCTCCTCCCGAGATGCAGGAGTTGTCTACGCAGCTGCAAGAGCTGCTAGACAAGGGATTTATCAGGCCGAGTAGTTCTCCATGGGGAGCACTGATCCTTTTTGTGAAGAAGAAGGATGGTTCGCATCGGATGTGCATAGACTACCGGGAGCTGAATAAGGTAACGGTGAAGAACCATTATCCCCTCCCGAGGATCGATGATTTGTTTGAATAGTACAGGGTGCATCTTGGTTCTCCAAGATTGATCTGCGATCGGGTTATCACTAGATGCGAGTCAGAGAGGAGGATGTCCAAAAGACAGCTTTTAGGACTCGCCACGGGCACTATGAGTTCGTGGTGATGCTGTTTGGGCTCACCAATGCTCCAACTGCGTTCATGGACCTCATGAACCGAGTGTGCATACTGATGCTGGATCGGTCTGTGATTGTTTTCATGAATGATATCTTGGTCTATTCCAAGACTCAGAAGCAGCATGAGGAGCACCTGAGGGAGGTGTTGGAGACACTGAGGAGGGAGAGACTTTTTGCAAAGTTCTCCAAGTGTGAGTTCTGGTTGCGCGAGGTGCAGTTTTTGGAGCACCTTGTCAACCAGAAAGGTATTCTGGTCGATCTGGCCAAGATAGAGGTCGTGATACAGTGGGAGGTTCCGAGGTCTCCAACTGAGATTCGAAGTTTTCTTGGTCTACCGGGTTATTACCGGAGATTTATCCAGGATTTCTCCAAGATCGATGTTCCTTTGACCCGACGGACCAAGTAGTCGGTGACATTCCGATGGGGGCCTGAGCAGCACGCAACCTTCAAGACTCTTAAACAGCGGTTATGAGAGGAACCGATTTTGACTCTGCCCGAGGGAGTTTATGACTTCGTAGTTTACTGTGACGCGTCGATTACGGGCATGGGTGCACTTTTGATGCAGAGGGGTCATGTGATAGCTTACGGTGGGGGTTGTGGTTTTCGCCCTCAATATTTGGCGGCATTAGCTCTATGGGGTTCGTTGTACCATTTACACGGACCACAAGAGTTTGAGGTACCTCATGGATCAGCCGAATCTGAACATGAGGCAGCGTCGGTGGTTGGATGTGGTGAAGGATTATGACTGTGAGATCCTTTACCACCCGAGCAAGGCCAATGTGGTGTCCGACGCCTTGAGCCGCAAGGTAGTGGCGGCTCCGATTAGAGATATATGTTTGAGGATGACAGTGATTACTCCACTATTGGAGCAGATTAGAGAGGCGCAGGTTGAGGGCCTGA